AAAAAAAAAAAAAAAAAATGCTGGCGTAGATTCAAATATTTTGGGTTGTATATGAAAAAAAGTTTTCTCTGTATAAAAGAACAATAAAAAAGATTATTGGATTATTAAGGAAAATATGTCATTTCTATCTTAAAAAGTTTCTTGTACCTAAGGCACAATGATACAGTGTTTTTTCAGGGAACTTTGTAGGTCTGGGATGCCCCAAAGCATATTAATTTAAGCAAAATATTTGTGGAGGAAAAGCAAACAAACAAAAAAACCCTGTAGGTGGTGAAATGGGGTGGAACAAATACTGAAAGAACTCTTCAGTGTAACCAAGCAGGGGATTTGTATGGTAACATTAAGATGTTTTCAACAGTTCTGAGTAGGTTTTATTGATCAGTTTAACACATTTGAGTACATACTATATGCTAGACACTGTTTTTGCACAATTTTAAGTAGGATTTGTTAATTCATTTATTGAGAATTTACTATGTGCTCGGCATACTTGCAGGCACTGGGAATAAACTAGAGAACAAAACACAATCCCTGCCTTCATGGAATTTCCATTCTAGGGGAGGAGATAGGCAATAAACCCGATGCACTATCAGGTTTGGTGAGCAAACCTAGAGGATGGATTGAGGCCAGGGAAGATTAGAGGCTGAAACCAATTAGGTATGTAGTTTCTGAGGAAATTCGAGTGTGGGGAAAGGCGATAACTATACAAAACATAATGGAAGTGAGTCTTCATAGACCTCAAATTAGCAGAACTTGGGATGGAAGGAATGGAAAGGGGGAGGGTTGAAGGGAGAAATTCACAACCGCTAAAATGTGAGTCTAGAGTGTTGAACTTTCGTTGTAGCAAAAGTGATGTGCTAGGTTTTGTTGAGCTGAAGTTGAGATTTTGGTGAGTTGTCCCAGTGTAGCTATTTCCTTAGATCAGCATTTCGCAAACGTTGGTGGGTGGTTGTCAGAATCACCTGGGGAACCTGACAAAAATGCAAAGGTCCAGAGCCTTTTTCCTTCAACTAGCCTGGGCCTCTGTGTTTTTTATTAGCTCACCAGGTGATTCTGACACAGCAGAGTTTGAGAACCACTGGCTTAGATAACCAGACACAAGTCTGGAAACAGGGATTGAGTTAAGGGCTGGAGATATATATTTTAGAGTTTTAAAGAAGTGTTAATTGAGACTTATGGATGGGTCAACTCTCCCAGCTGATGAGTATTAAGGGGGAAGAGGGGAAACTGTAGGACAATGAGTGATTGCATATATGTAGTTGGTGTTTAGACCAGGAAGAGCCTGAAAGACAGACACATGAATTATTCAGCGTCAGGAAAGTGCAGAGAGCTCAGTTTCCCTTTAACTGGAATGTGGGCTCCTTGGGGATAGAAACCTCAGGGTTACCTTATACCTGGCATTGTGCCCAGCACTTAATAGGCATTTAATCAATATTTGTTTATTGAATGAATCAATGTATGGCTCGCACAGAATCTAAAGAGAAGTTTTTAGGAGGATGTAGGCAATCATGTCACATGTAGTAGCCTGAGGTCAAGATGGCTGAAATTTACAGGATTGCTGATAGATTTGGTCAGAAGGAGGCTATTACTGTAAAAGAGATGGGGTGGTTAAGTGCAAGCAGGAATTTAGGCTCTGCTGTCATGTATAACATTCATCCAGAGCTGTTGATGAGCAGTGTAAAGGCAATAAGATAAGTATGTACACACATAATGCACATAACATATGGTTATGTATACTCAGGTATATGTGTACATGTATGTATATCTGTGTGTATACATGCATATCTGTGAAAGTATAGATCTTTAGCCCTGGAGTGTTCATTGTGCCCTGTTGCTCTGTCGACGTCCTGTAGCTGAGCCTCCTTCCCGTTATGAATCTCGTGGGAAGGGTTGTCTCCCAGGAGTCTCGCAGGTTGTAGAGGGCTGTCTTTGGGCAGTTGGAACACAGACAGAAGCAACAAAACGCTCTGGACATGTCTCCAATAAGCTGTGTAATCCACTTGCCACCCTCAGTCTTTCAGAGGTTGGTTGTTTCCCAAGAATAGGTATAATTTCTAGAAATTGCATAAAAATGTAAAATCCTGCTCTAAGATTTGTTAAAAGCTTTTTAATTCCAGGCACACATTTCCTTTGAAACGATAAATCTTTGTGTCATGAAGCAGAGATGCTTATTAGCCTGCTTTCTGTGGTCTGCAGATTCATAGATGAAGCATCCAACCTTTCTTGTATTTTGAAATGTCATGTCCGACTGCCTCTTAATGCAGATTCATTTATCCTTTTTACACTGTTAAGTACGGTCTATGGGGATAGACTTCTCTCAGTCCACAGGAATAGAGCCCATTAGTGCTAATGGAAGTTTTGCACATGTCTGCAGAGGTGAACAGGCATTGAAATAATTTACTGATACCTTTAGACTTTTACAGTTGTTCTTATTTAGCTGCCTTAGGGATTTCAATGATGACCCCTTTTTGTCCCCAAATACTGTTTGACATTGATTGTAGGAATCTGGTGATGGGCCTGAGGTTGTAACTTTAACAGGTGTAAGTACTTCTTTCCTCTGTTTCAGCTGAGAAGTTTTGAGAGTGAAATATTCACAGCCATTGAGAGACCTCCAATTTAATTTCTCATCATGCTTGTTCTGTAGTTCACATTAAGTCCAGAGTATTGAAGGAATGGAACAGGTGGACTTGTAGACATCAGATAGTTGGCCATGCTGTTGACAATGGCGTCTCAGGATGCTCAGAACCTCTTCCAGCCTCTCTCTTCCTGGATATATCGGGTTTATGAAGCTCTCCAGCAAGCAGGAGATACGTTATCTGCTTTGCTGGTTAACTTCAACAAACAAGACTCTAAATTGAGTGACAAGCTAGACCAGGACTTAGATGATATTCAGATTCAGGAAACTTACTTTGAAGATGAAGGACAAAGCAGTTGGACTCAAGAGGACATAAATTCCTTGTTTCTTGAAGTGGATCATTTCTCCTGTTGTAACAGTGATTTGCAGGACTCTGCCCAAAGTTCAAGCCCCAGACTTAGCCAGCATGCAAAGGACTCCTGTTCCATAGTGACCCAGTGGCCCAGTCAGACCCCTGATGACCAAAAGCCACCACATGTGCTTTCTTCTATTGCCGAGGAAGAACATCACCTTGAAAAGCAAAGGAGTGGCCTTCAACAGGGCTTTGACAGCCACCTCTCTGGTAGTTTAGAAAACGTTAATGGAAAAATGCAAGGTAAGCTAGCCAGTAATCATTTTCTATGGGTTTGTCCAAAGGACATTTCTACTCATTTTATTTTTATTTGTTTTAGTTATCATTTGAATTTTATTTTTGTCTCTTATACCTTTCCACATACTGGCTTCGTAATGAGAGTTGTAATCCTTAGGAATATTTTCAATATATAAAACTTTGGAAGATCCACATTGGTGGGCTCCATATTCCAAAACAATAGTTCTGAGCAAGTGAAATGGTGAAAACGAGTCTGTGGGTTCTGTTTGAGAAGCCCCTTGTGCATATGTCCTACTGTTTAAAACATCTTTTAAAATATTCTCTCTTTTTTAAACTAGGTTAGGAATCTCTAGATGTTACTAGATTATTCAGTGTGAAATCCTGTGCAAAAAGCCATACTTGTTGCAAAATTTTTAGTTGATAACACTCCAAGAACACTTCTCACAGTGTTGTACTGAGGCGTGATGTGAGATGACAGTAGATAGGAAATCTTTGGAATAAGAATAGCTCGCTTTTCTTCTAGCCTTGAATGGAAAGGACACATTTAAAACAAACTGCCTATAGAGCTTCATCCTGTCAGAACTGAGCATATAATGGGCCTTCAATAAATGCATAATGAATATGGTGAAAATGTAATTAACTCTATAAAAGTAGCTGTAGTATGTTCTGGCATAAATTTCTCACGCTTCTGTTACTCTAAGCCTGAAGTAAGGACATTCCATTTTATTGAGAGACAGAGAGATACATGATAGGCAGAGAAAGGTGTTGCGTGTGTATATAGGATGTGTTTGTAATGCACACATAGCTCATGCAGGTTTTCAGATCTTTTAATGTAAAAGGTGAACTCATTAATTCTCTTCTTGTTGGAGGGAGCAGACTTTTCTGGAATACTTTCTTAGTGTCTTCATCCATTTTCAGTGATTCCTCTTAGCTTTATCTTTTTAGAGGAATGTTTTATCCAGGTACATACAGTCTTAGTAAATGAAGAAATATAATTTCATATTCTTTTTATAATGCTTTCTTTAAAAAAATTTTTTTATTGGGGCATAGTTGTTTTACAATGTTGTGTTAGTTTCTAATGTACGGTGAAGTGGAGTTCCCTGTGCTATACAGAAGGTCCTCATTAGTTATCCATTTTATATATGCTATTGTTTATATGTCAATCCCAATCTCCCAATTCATCCCACTCCCCCTTACCCCCCTTGGTGTCCACATGTCCGCTCTCTACATCTGTGTCTCTATTTCTGCCTTGCAAACCGGTTTATCTGTACATCTGTGTCTACATCTGTGTCTCTACATCTGTGTCTCTATTTCTGCCTTGCAAACCGGTTTATCTGTACATCTGTGTCTACATCTGTGTCTCTACATCTGTGTCTCTATTTCTGCCTTGCAAACCGGTTTATCTGTACCATTTTTCTAGATTCCACATATACGTATAATGCTTTCTTGATACTCTTACTCAAACTAAAGTATTAAATGCTAGAATGAATTGGTGAACCAAGGTAGCCTAATATTCTTTCTGAATCTGATAAACTATAAATAAATGCAATTGCAAGCCTTTTAAAATTATCTATAGAGATAATCCTAGAAATGTCTGGACTACTAATAGGATTTCTTAGATTTGACTTGAAATTTCTATTCCTATTTTAGAAAATTCTTGCTAAAGTTGAACTATATTTAAAATTATTAACATGAATTTGGCTCAATAGATGCTTAACACTGGCTTCTGTTAATTTTTGTAATCGTTGTAATAATCTAATGGCAATTAAACAATTGTGTTCATTTGTTCACTCGGGAAATGTTGATTCATTAGATTGTAGCCTTCTGGAAGCCAGCAGCCGTGTCACAGATTCATTTCTGTATCCTTACTGTCAAACACAATGTTAGGTATGTAATAGGACATCAAATAATAATTACTGATGGAACAACAAGGAAAGCTAACAGCTCTACGAGGTAAATACTATTATTATTCTCACTTCACAGTTGAGAAAATTGATGATTAGAATTTGGGACTCTACCCAAGACTGACATTTAGAAAGAGGCAGAGCTCCGGTAGTCTGATTCTAGAGTTTACGCATATAACTCTCCCACCCCCACCCTTTTTAAAGTTATAATTTACATATGGTAAAATTCATCCTTCTGTAGTGCACAGTTCTGTGAGTTTTGACAGACACACCTGGTCTTCTAACCACCACCACCATCCAGGTATGAAATAGTTCTGTCACTCAAGTCCCTCTGGGGCCAGTCCTTTTCCCTACCTCCAGCTCCTGGAAATTGCTGATATGTTTTCTCTTTCTCTTGTTTGCCTTTTCCAGCATGTCATATAAATGGAATCATGCAGTATGTAGCCTTTTGAGGCTGGCTATTTTCACAATGCACTTATTGTAACACCCTTGAGATTTATCTGTGTTGTCATGTGTTCCACTGGTTTGCTTTTTTTTTTTTTATTATTGCTAAATAGTATTCCATTGCAGGAAGGCCCCAGTTTGTTGATCCATTCAGCAGTTGAGGGATATTTAGGTTGTTTCCAGTTTTTAGCATTATGAATAAAGCTACTATAAACACTTGCAAAACAGGTTTTCGTGTGAATATGTTTTCAATTAGGTGAATACCTATGAGTGGGATTGCTGGGTCATATGGAAAGTATATGTTTAACTTTATAAAAAAAAAATTCACTGTTTTCCGGAGTACAATTTTGCATTCTCAAAAGTTATGTATGAGATTTCCAGTCACGCCTATCCTCACCAACACTTTGTGGTATTATTATTATTATTTTTTAGCCATTCTCATAGGTGTGTGGTGATAACTCATGTTGGGAGATAATTCTCCATTGGTGTCTTGCATGTCCTATGAGCAGGGCAGAGCCACAAACAGCCTTTTGTTTTGGATTATCTTTTCAAGGGTGTTTGTATGACAGCCTTGGAAGACAGTGTGTCCCTCCAGAGCACAGGGGATATTTGTTTGCTGTCCAATCTAATAACGTTAATGTCTCTCTTCAGGGCAAAGCTTAGGCAAATTTGCTTGCAAATGATAGAGGTTTTCCAAGCTTGGTGTTCCCTGGCGACATAAACCCATTGCACGCATGGAATCTATCTGGGCCAGCCTCTGCATTACCCCCATGGTACTTGGAGGTACTGTGAGTAATAAATTGTCCTTTGTCTCTAACCCAGAAGTCTTGCATCTCTGCCAACATCTATAAAACAGTAGCAGGCAAACTTGTTATATGCAAGTAGGATAAAATCGTAGACCCTTCATAGGTTTTAACATCCCATTTGGCTTTAATTTGCATGTCCCTAATAACTAGTGACACTGAGCATATTTTCATGTAGTTGTAATCTGCATGACTTCTTTGTAGGGTCTTCAAATCTTTTGCCCACTTTCATTGAATTGTTTGTTTTCTTATTTTTGAGATTTGGGAACTATGTTTATATTCTGAATATGAGGAATGTACTTTAAAAATGTTTTCTCCCAGTTTTGTGGCTTGAATTTTCATTCTCTTAACAATGTCCCTCAAAGAACAGAGATTCTTAATTAAATGAAATCCACCTTATCAAGTATTTCTTTTATGAATTGTGCTTTTGGTATCATATCTAAGAAATCTTTCTATAACCCAGGGTCAGAAAGATTTTTTTTTCCTGTGTTTTATTCTAGAAATTTTAAAGTTATGGATTTTGCATTTAGAGCTATGATCTATTTTGAGGTATTTTTTATATGATGCAAGGTGTGGATTAAGCCCTCCCCCCACCATGTAGGTGACAAATAATTCCTATACCATTTGTTGAAATGACTATTCTTTCTCCATTGTTTGCTTTGATATCTTTGTCAGAAATCTGTTACCTATATACGTGTGGGTCTATTTCTAGACTCTATATTTTCCCATTAATCTACATTTGTATTCTTTCTCTAATAACACACTGTCTTGATGACTATAGCATTATGGTCTTGAAATCAGGTGAGCCCTCAATTTTATATTTTAAAAATTGTTTTGACCATTCTAGTTGTTTTCATATAGTTTTTAGATTAGGCTTATTGATTTTTACAAAAAAATTTGTTGAGAATTTTATTGGAATTTTGTTGAATCCATAGATCAGTTTGGAGAGAATGACATGCTAATAATAGTGTGTCTTTACGCAAGAGGGAAGAGATATGGGGACATATGTTTATGTATAACTGATTCACTTTGTTATAAAGCAGAAACTAACACACCATTGTAAAGCAATTATACTCCAATAAAGATGTTAAAAAAATAGTGTGTCTTTAAATCTGCAAACACGGTATATCACTTCATTTATTTAGTTCTTAATTTTTTTCACCTGTTTTGTAGTTTCCAGCATACAGGTCTCATACATATTTTGTTAGATTTATACCTAAGTATTTCCCTTTTCTTGGATATAATTGTAAATAGTATATCTATAACTTTAAATTGCCAACTGCTACTTGCTAGTATATAGAAATGCCATTGATGTTTGTATATAATCTTGTATTTTGCAACCTCCCTAAACTCAGTGATGAGTTCTAATTGCCTTTTAAAAAAAATTTTATTTATGTATTTATTTATTTTTGGCTGCACTCGGTCTTCGTTGCTGTGTGCGGGCTTTCTCTAGTTGCAGTGAGTGGGGGCTGCTTTTCTTTGTGGTGCGCGGGCCTCTCATTGTGGTGGCCTCTCCCTTTTCAGGGCGTGGGCTTCAGTAGTTGTGGCTCGCGGGCTCTAGAGTGCAGTCTCAGTAGTTGTGGCGCACAGGCTTAGTTGCTCCACAGCACGTGGGATCTTCCTGGACTCGGTCTTGAACCCGTGTCCCCTTCACTGGCAGGCAGACTCTCAACCACTGTGCCACCAGGGAAGCCCCACCTCTAATTGCTTTTTTATAGCTATTTGGGGATTTTCTGCATAGATAATAATATAATCACACAAACGACAGTTTTATTTATTCCGTTTCAATACCCATGTCTATTATTTCTTTTTCTGGACTGATTACACTATATTATCATGTTGAATAAGAATGGTG